CCATATTGACATTTAGCTAGGCAGGTAATATTTATGAAATAGGAATCATACCTGGTCATCCTGCGGTGAAGCTCGTTTCAGGGGAAGCGTAGCCTGCTTCTGTAACCCCTTGCTATTATGAAATACAAGTTCCGCGTTAAGCAGTATTGACTGGGTAGGAAAACATCATACAAAGACTGACAGGTAATACTATGTCCCCCTAAATTGAAGCATTAATAATAAGCGGAAATAAGGTTTTATTAGTTCGTAAATATATTATTTATTTTATAGGAATATTGCTAAGAGCAGATGAACTTTAGGTCAAAGAACAGCGCCCCAGTGTTTCCTTTTCGCAATACCAATACTCAAACAAGAGAATAAAGGGTTTTGTCTTGTTTACTTAGGCATACGCCCGAACTCATAACTGTAAATATGGGAGTTAATGCACATTATTGTAATGCTGGGAGCGCAACAATCCACGCTTCTCATTATAAACAGGTATACATACAAAACGAAACCCCTTGTCCTCTTATCTTAGATTTGGATAGTTCAGTAGCTCGAAGATACCTGCTACTATGTTGACTGTGTACTGACTCAAGAGGCCTATGATATATATGGGCCAAATTATTTGTCTCTACCGTACCCCCAAAATCCTTTACCTAGCGGCCGATGTATTTCCCGTGGTATTTTACGCGTAACCTCGGAGGTTAACCTTGGAGGTGAATGAAACAAATATTACATTCTAGGTAAAGGGTTCTATCTATCACCACTGTGTGGAAGCGGGGAAACGACGGTAGATAGGGCTGATCTGAATTAGGACATGTACAAGGAGACTAATGGAGATAGTTCGGTACGCTTGTTTGTGCCATAATGCCCCGATACGTAAAAAGTAATTATTATCATCAGATACATCGAATAACGGTTAAAATTTCAAAAGGGAAAAAGGGGAGAACTAACGAAAATGATGTATCTGATATGATAATTTGGCCTGCTGGTTTACTATGTACAGTATGTCTGTTGATGAATATGGGTCCTCAGCTTAGCCCTCAACCTTACATCTAACAAGAAATGATAACTTACTCCAACTATGGGGGTCACATACAGGCCTCTGACGTTTCTAGGCCGCAAAATCCCATCAATGACGCCAAAAGCTGCCCCGTATTTGGCCATTCTAACGGTTGGGACAATTCTAGATTTCGGTTCGACCGGTCTTTGCGTCGACTTTGGTTCATCATCAGGCCGGAATATCTTGTAGGGACAGGGGGGAGGATCCTGGTATGGTAAAAGAGTCCCACAAACAAACGTCTGATTGGCGATGGGGAAATTTGTTTATTACACATTTCTGCCAGAAAAATTTGTCTATTATACATTTCCAAAACGGTTCGTTAACTCATATTGTACAACGGGCCTTCAACCGGAACGGTGTGGCTCAGCTCTTGGAAATACTTAACGGGGAACTAACAAAACTCTTCTTTAATATTTCGCACTATGTTAAGCACCAGGACGCCGCGTCGTGAACATACCTTCGACAATCCTATCAGCTATATAACAGAATGGACTCTCTTCCTCAGTAGTGTAAAGGCGAGTTAATAATCTGTCCAGGATTTTATTAAGTTTAGGAACTATTTATTACAGAACTCTCCGTCTGAAACAAGGACCCTCTTCCTCCAATACTTGATTCAAGCCATCTCTTTACTCAATTGCGACGAACGCCTCACGAAAATCACAACTGACAACTTGGAGAAACGATGGCAAGCCAGTTTAGAACAATGGTCTAAATATTCGCTCCATATTAATACGCATTGGTCTCGCCAACTTGACCTACTCCGCATGATATTTGAAGTAGCTGGAGGTTCACAGAGCCGGCAACCTGGCTGCTTGCTATACGTGCATAGGACGGATGGGAACCTCGAAATACTTGGACAGGCACTCCAAATTCAAGAATCCGAGCCACTGAAGAAATCCGATTCCTCTCAAGTCGAATTTAACCCAACTGAGACATTACTTTTCCTTAATTCTTGTGAAGCGTTTCCAGGCAAGATTCTATCCATGGAAGATGTCAAGCGGCGACACCGCCTAATATGCCGACATGTTCCTATATACTCAGTACCGGTAGGCTCCATTCCGCGCCAATTGGGATAACTCTAATCATACGTAGCTTTCTTTGACAGAAATTGTCAACCTCCAGAAATATATGCTCATGAAGAGAATGGTTCCCCCATCTTTGCGGGTGCTCGTGGAATATTTTAATGATCTGTTCCTCGAGCCACTCCCGATTAGGTACACCGTGGAAAATCTATATTCACTCTATGCAGAGAAGCGGCTCCCAATTAGGTACACTAAGGTAATGCGTAAGGCAGGCGAGGAGGATATCTTATGTCGCGCGAAACTCTAACCTGGCCCTCCTGTTGCCGCAGGAAATAAGGCATACTTCAGACGTTTTATTTACCATGGATGCGTCTAGCTGTATACTACCGCCCATTAGCTACCTAGCATCGGACGCGAAAAATATCGAGGAAAATCTACGCTCGCTCTATGTTGAAAAGCGACACGCGCAAAGGGGATAGCATCAGATATTGGCGCTCTATGAGAGGGACTATACTAGCGGGACTGGTTACGACGAGATTTTATATATGCGAATACGGAATCTTAATCAAGAGATGGGAATGTAGCTAATCTATACTTATCTTATACGAGTAGAATCGCCTATCCTTTGCTATTCTATGTTATCTGACCTAGTTCATTAAGATTGCTTTCTTCGCGATATACACACGCTCCTACTTTCCATATTATACCAATCTTGCAAGGCTTCGGGCTACCTGTCTCCGGCCTAACAGAAGAGTTAGCTTGGGCGTTCACAGGTGGCGCCCTCTATTCTCAGATGGGCCAAAAGAGAGGGCAAGACAAGAGAACACACGAGAACATAAAGTGAACAAATGCCAAGTCTCGACGGGCAGGGAATGATTTATGGCCCAGTCGGCGTACGCAGTCCAATCGCCAGTCTCTGCGGTCGTCAACTGGCTACAATGGATACGGCTAGTACGTCATCACCAACGTTGGTATCGTTCACAGGCAACCGTCTTGCTGAACCCCTGAACCAGCTCTCTAGGTAGCCGATCATGCCGAAAGCTACCTGGCAGTGATACCGTACCCCAACAGGCTTTGGCCTTGCAAGCGGTCGTATTTAAAGTCACCCACGACCTCGCTCCTGGAAACTTAAACTTTCTCTTCTTTACCTCCCTTTCTCCCCTCCTACAGTGCAGCCAGCATGGACACCTCATATACAGCACTTCAGCTTCCTTCCTGGGACCCTCCAATATACGATCTCAAAGATTATACGCTACCTATTCCCGATGCGGTTGACCCCGACGAGATTCGCGGTTCACTTATACTAGATACCTCCTTACAAAGTCCCTCTTTCACTTTCGTGACGTCTTCATTGGAATCGCAAACGCCAACCTTCCCTCCTCTGCTCTCCCCCAACGAACCTGACAACTTCTGGGGCATTGTGCCCGACGAACAACCTTTTTTAGGCCTTCCATTCGATCCCGAAGATCGTATGCCACCTACCCCTGTGGTGGATGATTTTGACAAGACCTGGCGTTCATTCGAAACCTCCTCACCGCTTACACATGCCACGCCTGTCATCTCGCCAGGAACGGCCCCCCTTATTGATCTGACAGGGGAGTCCGATGACGAGAAGACTTCCCCTATGGTATCCCAGAGGGACCAGAAGACGGCGAATCGGGGCCTACCAGATGGTTGTTGCACACCCGTCCCATCTAAACGAAGCCGAGATGACAACATAGGAACCCAGCCTTCTTCGAAGAGGCGGAAGAAACACTCCACTGTTAATATTAGAGCAACGCGGGTATGGCTCGAGTCTGAGGAGATACCGGACGGTCCGGAGTATACTTGGGATCGCCGCAATGGAGGCAGCTGGAAGAGAAAGTCGGAAAGCTGCCATGGTTGTGAACATGTCGAAGGGGAGTTCCTACTCTGCTATGCTTACGATTGGTTGTATATTGAGGTTCGAGCGAATGCGGATTGGTTCCCGCTTACGCTCAGATGGAGCAAAAAACACAAGATGTTCCAAGGGGAGGGCAGAATTGCGGGGATAAGGCTTCAAGTTCAGGATATGGTAATGATGGATTTGATTTGTGGAAGCAAGGGCAAACATGTGGCTATGGTAGAACGCGGCTCGAAATAGCACACAGCACATACCCGCGTTCTACATAATCGTAGGCAGTAATAGGCAATAATAGACAATAGTAGCGACCTAAGATATAATAATTTAATCGTGCATGGGAGGAAATGAAGGTCTCGTGTAGGTATGGCAACAAGTGTTAACATGTTAGGTGCGCCTCTAACTACCAAGGAATAAGGGATTAGGCAGGTTGAGGTAGCGACCATTTCGTCTATGACCACGTAGAAGGGAAGTAAGAAAAGCGTAGGTCCGCAACGTATTGGTTGATAATCCATCTAGATCATGACAAGCAGCCGCCATAGGGGTAGGTTATGAAAGCATGGCTGCCCCCAGTCAGTAAGTTGAAAGACCTGCTCTGACTTATTGAGGTGGATGAATATTTTTCTATGCCATCAATAGATGGAGACTTGCTACTCTTTGAGCACGTTGCCCCCTATTGTCCGGCCGTGCCTATGGCCGAGGCTAATGGGCCAACTTGTTAAGACATGCCTGTTATCATGTCACTTCTTGAACAGGGAATAGAAGGAGGATATTCTCGTTACAGCTAAAAAAGGTACTTCAGCTATTATTAGAAAGCTCAACAATAACTTGAACATGGTTTCGTACCAGGGTGGATTTAAGAGCAGTAGCATATCGGCACCAACCACGGCCACCCCGAGACTATCACGCCACCGCTCCTCCCTTCCTTATGATTGCCGATCCGATGCCACCTGAGCATACTGTCTTCTGTTCAATACTCAATAATATATGGATCTTGGCCTGTTGGTGTCTGCCAGTAGGGCCAACATATTGAACAACACTACGAGACAATTTGGATAGCTCTCTCAACTAAGACTTAGTCGGAAAAGACAACTACATTCTATTGAATTTGCACCTCAGCCGGGCTTGCCATACTGGCCTACGTAAATGGTGATATCGATCCTGCTGCTCGTATCATGGCGATAAGCTTCTAGACTTGCTCGAGGATATGGTGTTCTTGAAGAATATGTCGACTTAATCGCCATTTATTCGTGTAGTGGATTGGCATGGGAGTCATGTAGATGCTGCAATGTTTGAGACAAAAACCAGATCGTTGCTAGTTCGGAATAGCCGTCAATATCATTTTATTAGACTGGGATCTACATGGTCAGACATCCTTGGCAACTGATTCGAAGGCCAGGGGAGGGAGCAACTAATGCCACAGCAGAATCTAGCGAACCACCTAGACGATCGCCGAACGGGTGTCAGGGTGATGTATAAAAAGGTATCTTCTGTTATTGGATGTGCCTGGTGAAGAAAGAAAGGAAGGGTTAAAAGACGCCAGCCATAAGCCTAACCTATGATCATATATAGCAGGTTAGTGATGTTAAACTGAGGCCTACATTTATTTGGCTCCTTCTGGAATTAAATCCGTTGATCGGTTTTGCCTGGGGTCATCATCCTCGTCGTTTTCATATTATGTTAATTCTGACATCGTCTGAGCTCATGATTGACTCATAGATTTCTCGTGAGATACGCCGTCTGTTGCTGGCCCCTGACATTTGGCAAAGTTTAAGGCGTATGCTTGTAAAAGTCAAATCACTTGATAAAAGGAAGCAAGTGTTCAATTTTCTTATCTAATATCGATCATAAAAGGAAGTTCTCCCGGTGCTTTTTCAAAAATTAACTCGTAATATTTATAAACTTTCGTTATTACTACTTGCAACAATGAGCATACCTAAACCTCAAGATGGAGCTTTTGCAAAACAAAAGGAGCTTGCTGCCACACTTCCCCTTACCAATGAGGTTACTCAACAATCATTCAGTAATAAAAAGGAGTTGATAATATCGATTCTTACATCCCATGCTTTAAATATAGAAGATAACACTTCGGTACTCACCCAAGCAAGAAAAAGACTCATAAGGACACCTCCAGATCATACCGGTACGTAACCTAGACTTCAGGCTCCGTTAAGCAATTATTCATTGCCATAGATAAGTGCTGTTGTCTTGGAGATAGTAACATACTAGGCCCTTGGATGCTTGGTCTACTGTAAAAAATGGGGAAGCTGAAGGTTGCCATCCACTATAGGGTCAGCCCTGACGCTACAATCGAATTCGGGGCGGACGTGGGTTTGGTAGCCGATTGCAAGACTTTCGAAACCACCAATAGCCTGGCATCTGAAAAGGGTTGGCCATTCACATATAAATTTTCTATTCCTTTTTTTCAAGATGGCAGGATGTTTGTTCAATGCTACATTGAAATACCATCCATGCCCATAAACTTCCGTGAAATCTTTTACAAACTTCAGCCATTTTCTGAAGCTTTTTGTTAATTAATGATAGAGGAATTAATTAAATGCCTAATGTCAATAACTTAGGGAATACTGAGGTTTATATAAACAGGTTAGCAGGTATGGTAGATTATCAGGTAATATTAGATATATTAGATATATTCTTATTGTGATGGAGGTGACATATTAGAATACCTTGCCCCGTCTGTACCAAATCGCCTCAATCGATGGGAAGATGTTTGTTTCGTAATATTACTACCTAACGGTGGCTTCAGGAGCCTGCAAAATAAACTATACATAACAGACTCCTGCCAGAATATCTAGGCAGTAATAACCACGCCATTAATTCTCTACCAAGGCAGCCAGTACTACTATCCCTTTACTCTGTCGCCAATGTCGCCCATTGCAACCTAACGTTTTGCCCATTTCGCCCATTTCGCCTATATGCTATCTACCAACATGGTTAAAAGCCTTGCCTCATCCATATTCCAATAGCAGACTTTGATTGGCAGTTCGGTACGCAGGCCCTGGGGCATGGGATGACACTACCAAGGGCTGCGAGGATATTTTGGATATGGTTGCCACACCTGATGCTACGGCCTCCAATAGGTTTTTTATCGTCATAGGAGATAGACTATCAGCGAATAAGGATAATGTATAGACTATATTCCTCCTTGGTCTCTATTTTTTTATTATCTTCATAATCTCATATATAACATAGCGATCATACCTGACTAAATGCTGAATGAATATAATTCATTCACTTATTTTCATTTTCTAACTGGTTGCTTTATATACCCCCTACCTTTAAGTAGACTCGATTTCTCCCTTCAATCAACAGGTGAAACATTTGCGAACCATCTGCGACTTGCGGAAGGCAACCACAGAGGCAATATAAAAAAAAAGTAACAGTACCTCCTCTTATGAAAATCTTTTCTCTTTCTCTTTCATACGTCAATGATAATTCGACCATATGTTCACTAAGATTTCTCTCCATTGCTAATTTCATTCTCCTAATTCTTCATAGTATATTTATAAGATCTTCTTTTTTCCATCATGGTTCAAAAGGATGTTGTCGCCTCTTTCACCAATTCTGCAAGGCCTCGAAACTTAGATGCCCAATCCCAGAATGCAATGATGAATTTCCTGATATCGATGAACGCATAAGAAACCATCTGTAAACAAGGCATCTGGATTTGGTGGGAAAGAATACTATTACTGAATTAATTCAACGGGTCAAAAAGGGTGACCCTAAGGCTTCCAAATATGTTTTCCTTATATCTCTGAATCTAATACGTTATCGAGATTAACTTAAGTAAAGATCACCTGAACCAAGAGGGGGCCAAACCGAGGAAGCCGGAGATAAAGATAAGGGGAATGATGTAAGCCTTTATAAAAGGCGAAAGTCCCTAACATCGTTAATTAAGGATATAGTTTGGTCTATTAATGATCTAGAGCCCGGGTGACATTAGCCGTGGCCGCCCCTAACGATCCTGACTTTTCAAAAGTCCTGCAGTCGGGAAAGCTAAATGATGCTCTATCCTCTTCTTCCCTTCGGCTAAGACAACCAGCTAGGCCACGAAGAAACCCTAGCCAGCCTCAGAGCTAAGCAGTAGTGGCGGCAGATATCGTCGAGGACGAGAACAAGTCCACTCGGCTTATTAAACAGCCCGAGACCCGACCAATTAGTCAAGAACAGTTAATCGCTGAAGTGAAGGGGATTTATGCTAGGCTCGTTATGGTAGAGTCGAAGTGTATTGAAGTCGACAATGCTCAATCGATTCAAAAAGACACGAAACTTAACGACGAGCAGTGGCAGGCTTTAATAGCATTACATAGGACGCTCCTTCACGAGCACTACGACTTCTTCTTGGCCTCACAGCATCCTTCAGCAAGCCAACCTCTTCGTCGATTAGCATCTAAATACACTATGCCGGCAAGGATGTAGCGGCATGGTATTCATTCTTTTCTCGAGTTACTACGCCACCGGCTACCGCTTTCTTTAGAATTCATGCTCACTTTCATTTATTTGGCGTATTCTATGATGGCGCTGCTGTACAAAACAGTGCCCGCATTCGAGGATACATGGATTGAGTGCTTGGGTGATTTGGGCAGGTATAGGTTAGTACACAGGTGGCACTTGCTCCTTGTTTCGCAGAATTCTCATTATTTGGGGTGTAGAATGGCTATCGAAGACGACGATATTTGAGATAGAGAAGTCTAGACATCAGTTTCTCGGCATTGGTATTCGAAGGTGTCTGATAAAGCGCCTACTACAGGGCGATTATACCACCATCTCGCGATCCTCGCGAGGCCTAACCCCTTACAACAATTGTACTACTGCGCGAAGTCTCTCTGTGTACCAATTCCTTTCAGTTCAGCCCGCGAGTCCATCATGACGCTATTTGACCCCATCCTCGACCCCACCGGCTGAAAAATTTCTCAGCATGTTAGATACCCACATTGCCCGTACGATGAGGAAGTGGATGGAGTCAGGATAACTATCCTCCAAAGCATGAACTATCCTTGTCATACTGACTCTCATAGGTACTATATCGCTATCGCCGACTACTGTGGCCTACTCTCTTACGGCCAGGACGACAATGTTATCTTGAAAGCGACCCGCCCCCAATATTCTGACGACACAGTCGAGTCGAGCTCGGATACTGCTGACAAGGCTCGTTTGGAGTACAAGCCTAACAGAATTGAAGAGGGTGCATTCCATTTCTTTGGGGGCATATATAGTGTTGTTTTACGTCGATTAGGTGACTTGAATGTAAGCTTTGATTAAAATTTACCTGTAGGTCATCATTAAACTATGTCATTACTAACTTTTATTAGATCCCGTCCTTCCTGCATGTCGTGATGGTATTCGTATTTCACTTATCATATTTCCCCGGCGCAATATTATTCATTAAGAAGGCCTTCCCCTAGAAGCTCATCTCTCTTCAATTGGACTCCATGTTATTATCATATCGGGAATACCATCGCATTCATGACGAGAACTTCCCTAGGCAAGACAAGGAATTTGCACCTCGCCCACTCCCGGAAGATTTTGCTATGAAAGGCTTGGTCTGGATAGATAAATACTTCCCGGTTGATTGGTTTTCTAACGACAAAATCGACGATAATGAAAAATACTTCGAAGTGTCCTCGATGACAGATGATCGAAAAGAGAGGATTCTCTGGCTCGGACACCGCATCGCAAAGCTTAGGAAATGGTTAACTTACAACAAATAATCACATCAATTTAGCGTCGTACCAGCATATGAGAAGGATATAGATAACGTTGCAAAAGATGTCGAGATGGCGACCATTTCTGAAACGGTTGACCCAGCCTCTCCGAGCTCTACGTTTGGCTCAACCACTATTGGAAATACCCCTTCTGAGGACGGTGAGGACATGGTGGATATTGAATAGGCTAGCAAGCCTACCCTATGACAATGAAGTTCCTCTAGGGTACTATACAATTTGTCATTAGGAAGAGAAGGTGGCTAATACATATGATATCCATGTCGAATAGTCACCCAATTTTATTTCTACGCCAGTAAGCTTATTTCCATTGGCGATTATTACCCTCTAACTTCTATTCAGGACCTATCTTGTCGGTTAGAACGGAAGTAGGTCGCATTTAAAATAGGATCTTCGTTAATTGATACTACAATTCGATTTGAAACGGTATAACTAGAGACGTCAAGTACACGCAGAACGTTGTCGGGATAAAAAACAATAAAGACCCATCTTAAGTAACTTAATATAACATATATAAGGAGAAACGATGATTATCTATAGGATTATGTAGCTTACTATATAATAGCATGCCAATTATGGCCCCGGGAAGGCTGGAGATAGCTTCATACGGTTTATACTAACAAGGGCTACTACTGAATGGAAGAAAAAATAGAAAAGGGGTTTAGGTACCAGCTAGTTATGGTGCTCGAAGTATGCGAGACGAAGTGCGGTGCCTCGCTCCTAAAGTTCTGCCTTGAAAAATCCGTCTTCCATAAGGAGAAATCCTAAGCACTCAGACCCAAATCCAGTCCCTATATCTTATATCTAAATACTGAGGTAGCTATACCTTTACATTTCAACAAAGCTTCTTCCAATATCATACCTAGGCCCGGTAAAGTCAGATTATAATAAAGTTACAAAATAACATATAAGCAGGAGCAATATGTATTCGGCCTAATTCATTCCATCCCTTTTTGTCATATATCTTGTTTAGTGATCGTGGCTTAAGCCTTATCATATGGGTCTAGTGTCCGTAGATTGTAAGAGGCGAAGTATCTCGGTCAATTAATACTATTTTAGGAGACCTTCCTATGCTTTCTAGTTCTGAAAGAATTACCCATAATATTTTATACGTTAAATATTACGTCCGACAATGTAGCCTCCTCAGTACCTTTACCTAGGTAGTTATACCAATCCTAACTCATTAAAGGATCAACAACCTTTCCATAGGTTGCAGCGACCTACATGTGGTTATTGATTCATATTGGTCATTGGTAAGCTCTTCAGGGAGTTCGCGTTGATGTGATGGCGAACTGACTAATTAGGTGGGTATATATGTATACCCAGGTGTTATGATAAATGAGGCAGTCAAAATGTCGAATGACCCTTTCTTCTCTATTCATATAGATAGGGACTGTGCTTGTTTTAAATATCAACTTTCCTTTGAATGACGATTACTTGTCGAATGTCCCACTTTCCATGACCTAGACATAAATGTGTTAACGTGAAATTGAACCGATTAGAATGTCATAATCTGTCTTAGGTTCTGCCGTTTGTGTTATAACAGTTCCTCAACTTAATTATCATGGTTTTATATGTCTATATTATCTGTACTGAACTACTTCGGGAGAATCGCCATCGAGCTTGCCGCTTGCGGTAGTCATCGGATGTTCAAATTTAGGACTCAGTGGAGTTTATCACATTGTGATTGATGGGGTCATGAACCAAAGGCCTAAAGGGGTGTCCGCGTAAGGTTGATTATCCATACTTAATCTTCATAGACCTGAAAAATCGCCCGTA